CGTCCTTCGGAAAACAAAGTAGTGATTAATGACCTCAAAGTTATCACAGATTTCATTGTTACAGCACAATGGAAGAGAACGAAAAGAAGAATAAAACTTAAGAAACTTGAACTACATTTATCAAACTCAGTAGGGGTCGCTGTCGGGATGGAGACATATGTTCCCTTCATAATGTGTTTCTTTGCTCTTTTATACGAAATAGCTTGGATTTTCTTTAAGCAGAGATAATAGAATTAATCGCTGCTTTGATATGGGTTAACGTAACGTAATATTTATCCGCTGTTGATCTTAGTTTAGGTTGAAGTGAGGAATAACAATGTACTTAATATGAAATAAAAAATGGTTTACTATATGTTCAGGTCTTCAACAATAATCTCACCACTTTTCACTGCTTACTTCTCGTTGTATGAAGCTTCCGTTTTTAATGTAATGTAAGTGTTTAGAAGTATTCTCTAACATCACAGAAATGATAGTCCAGTACTTTTTAATAGCTGTGGAAACGTTCCAGATTCGTCCAAAAGTTCCGTCCTTTGTGTAAAGTCTTTCTAGTTTTGTTAGAGACAGTGCCATGCTTCTAGATAAAAAGTATTAGATGTACAGATGGAATATTAAAGTGACGAAGATAAAAAACTTGTAATCCATCAAGTTGTCTCCAGTACATTTAGAAACTAAAATAAAACGCTTGTAATCTCTCAATATTTAAAACTGAAAATAAAACGCTTGATGTCTCTCAAGTAATTCATTCGATTAAAATACGAATGATACTCTGGTAATCCATTTTTTGATGACGATTCACAATCAATGCATTTATATTTTATCGTAAATCATAATTAAATTTTTTAAAATTACTTTAAGTCCAAAAGCTGACGAATTTCGTCAGATAAACAAATATCCTGTATAAATCAATTGTGATGACAAATGGAGTACCTTATTACAAAACATAGAAAAATACGTCAGTCACATGTTATGAAAATCAACAAAGGAAAATATATATTCATAATATGGTTTCATGATTTGTAGTAGTGCACGTCGAACACCACTGGCAAACTGGTGGAAGTTACAGGAGAGCCAACATGCAAACTAGTGGAAGTTGTAGAGATGTAACATGCAAACTGGTGGAAGTTACAGGAGAGCCAACATGTAAACTAGTGGAAGTTGCAGAGATTGTAACATGCAAACTGGTGGAAGTTACAGAAGTGGCAATATGTAAACTGGTGGAAGTTACAGAAGAGCCATCATGTAAACTAGTGGAAGTTACAGAGATTGTAACATGCAAACTTGTGAAAGTTACAGAAGAGCGAACATGTAAACTAGTGGAAGTTACAGAGATTGTAACATGCAAATTGGTGGAAGTTACAGAAGTGGCAATATGTAAACTAGTGGAAGTTACAGAAGTGGCAATATGTAAGCTAGTGGAAGTTACAGGAGAGCCAACATGTAAACTAGTGGAAATTATAGAGATTGTAGTATGCAAACTTGTGAAAATTACAGAAGAGCCAACATCTAAACTAGTGGAAGTTACAGAGATTGTAACATGTAAACTAGTAGAAGTTACAGGAGAGCCAAACATGCAAATTGGTGGAAGTTACAGAAGTGGCAATATGTAAACTAGTGGAAGTTACAGAAGTGGCAATATGTAAACTATTGGACGTTACAGAAGTGCCAACATGTAAGCTGTTGAAAGTTACAGAAGTAGGTACAAAGCAAAAATCTCCGTCTGTCTGTTGTCAAAAGTAGTTGAAAGTAACCCGCTAAACAATTAATTTGGTAGATGGAACCCCCCTCTCTACAAACATATTTTAAATGGATAATCAATCAGACGAACGGTTCGATTTTGGCAGCCATTTTAACTTTAACGTCTTAATGTCGCGAGTGAGAGCTCTACTAGGTCAGGCGAGTAGGTAGCAAAACGAATGTGACGTTTGATGCCACGTTTAGTGCGAGTAAATTTTCATCAGACGAATGGTTCGTGTGCTGTGGCTCAAAAATTGTAGAAAGGGCTTCCTTCGCCTCTAATGGATAAAATCACTTTAAGTCCGACGTTGCTGTAAAATGGCTAATTATCAATGAAAGCCTGTTTCTAGACCCCCTATATATAACTTTAATTAATTTAAAATATAAAAAATAATTGGTTCGGACATATTTCACATGTTGCTAATGAGGATTAGTAACCAACAAGTAAGTAGTGTAGCTCATCCTGTCTAGTTTAACAAATACTAACATCGCCCAGCTTGAGAAAAGTTACAGATTACGGTGCTCTCAAAACCGTTTCGTTACCTTGAAGTTGACATTTCTGCTGAAACTAAAACTTCAAGGTGATAAAGAAGTCGTTCTATTTAATTGATCACTAAGTGACAATCCCAGGCACTGATCCCTCGTGTAGAGACCAACTGCCTCGCCGAATGTAAAATACTGTTCCTTTACTGTTGTAACTTGCAGTGTTCTTGTTGGCCTATATTTTGCTTGAAGTACGTAAACCATATGGTACTTTCTTTTCCAGCTGTACCATTCCATCTGAATGTCGATGAAGACCTTACATGGTTGACAGTTTTATCTTACTAGTGAAGTAGGTTAATATCTTGTCAGTAGAGGTGTGCTGGATATCTGATAAAAGGACTTTTCTTACGACCTTATCAGTTTTTCGTTTACATGACCTGGCATACAAGTGACGGTCTCGTCATAGCTTTAGCCCTGCATGACCTGGCATCCAAGTGACGGTCTTGTCATAGCTTTAGCCCTGCATGACCTGGCATCCAAGTGATAGTCTTGTCATAGCTTTACCCTGCATGACCTGGCATCCAAGTGATAGTCCTGTCACAGCTTTACTCCTTCATATCCTGGCATCCAAGTGACGTTCTTGTCATAGCTTTACCCCTGCATGACCTGGTATCCAAGTGATAGTCTTGTCATAGCTTTACTCCTTCATATCCTGGCATCCAAGTGACGTTCTTGTCATAGCTTTACCCCTGAATGACCTGGCATCCAAGTGATGGTCTTGTCATAGCTTTTCTCCTGCATGTCCTGGCATCCAAGTGGTGGTCTTATCATACAGTTGCTTCACAGACTAAGTTAGTCGCAAACATTATGTTGTTGGCACTGTTTATTTGAGGTTCGTTGTTTTCAACAATCCAGATAAAAGCTTACGTGTTCGCAGTCTTTGATGCAGAAACCACCTGCGTCTGTGATAACAAGTGAATATCCATCATGATCTGTAAATTGGTGATGACAGGCTTTACACTTCGCCCTCTGCCAAATCTACACTTCCTCTCTAGGCTGTTTTCTACAGATTCCAGTGGCTCCAGATGTTTACGGGGACATCTAATATATATTGGTGATGACAGTCTTTACACTGCCAAATCTCCACTTCCTCTCTAGGCTCTTTTCTACAGATTCCAGTGGCTCCAGATGTTTACGGGGACATCTAATATATATTGGTGATGACAGTCTTTACACTGCCAAATCTCCACTTCCTCTCTAGGCTCTTTTCTACAGATTCCAGTGGCTCCAGATGTTTACGGAGACATCTAATATATATTGGTGAAGAATTCTCACTGGAAGCTGTAGAGTGTCTATTCATCTTGAGAAACGTTTAAGTAATCCCCTGCTTGGTTGATGTATGCGGGGTCATTATGGGATTGGAATGTTCCCTTGGGCAGGGCAATGGCTTGATAATAGAATGAATAGTCTTCATTCTGCAATATTTTACTGAATAATTTTGTTTTGTAAGTATGTTTTTGCGCTACGACACTGCTGAGGCTTGTGAGGTATGATTGCAAAGACATTCAGAGGAAAAGCAAACATTCTAAAAATCGACTTCTAACAGAAACCAACGTTAATAAGAGACATAAACCAAAACCATATAGACACCTTTTAACTTATAGACTGAAACCATGCAGACACACATTAACCAAAGAGGCTTTGTTAACAACAAAGCTAGAGGTAAAAGGGTTGTTCCAACAAGTAATTGAAACAACCAGCCAACCGATCAACCGCCAGTAAGCTGAGTAGACGAAGGATCTTGTAAAACTATGTTAAAGTAACGAAATTTTCTTGCACGATTAAAACCCTAATAGGCTTAAGAACAAGGTTTATAAATTTCTGAACACTCACTTACAGGATGTTAGCTTTAGAAGAATTTGCTCGAAGGAACTACATAATAATCATACACAGTTACACGCAGGACTGAACACTGGCGTGTTGTCCAAGGAACTACATAATAATCATACACAGTTACACGCAGGACTGAACACTGGCGTGTCGTCCAAGGAACTACACAATAATCATACACAGTTACACGCAGGACTGAACACTGGCGTGTAGTCCAAGGAACTACACAATAATCATACACAGTTACACGCAGGACTGAACACTGGCGTGTAGTCCAATGAACTACACAATAATCATACACAGTTACACGCAGGACTGAACATTGGTGTGTAGTCCAAGGAACTACAGTGTATGCAACAATTATATGCATGGTTATATGGTATTAAATAATTTTTACATAAGAACTATTTAAATTGTATTTTAAAACTGAAGACTCAGTTGCACAATATAACTTTCAAACTGGATGTAATGCATTACTGCCAGTTACCTTGACATAAGGCTAATCAAGTTACACAATATAACTTTCAAACTGGATGTAATGCATTACTGCCAGTTACCTTGACATAAGGCTAATCAAGTTACACAATATAACTTTCAAACTGGATATAATGTATCACTGCATACCTTGATATAAGGCTAATCAAGTTACACAATATAACTTTCAAACTGGATATAATGTATCACTGCATACCTTGATATAAGGCTAATCAAGTTACTCAGTATAACTTTCAAACTGGATATAATGTATCACTGCATACCTTGATATAAGGCTAATCAAGTTACTCAGTATAACTTTCAAACTGGATATAATGTATCACTGCATACCTTGATATAAGGCTAATCAAGTTACTCAGTATAACTTTCAAACTGGATATAATGTATTACTGAAATACCTTGATATAAGGCTAATCATTTGAAGTTCTAAAGGCGGAAGAACTGTTCCATTTTTCCGGCGGGCTCGGATGGTGGGTAAGCCGAAGTTGAAGGACGAAGAGGATTTGGTCACGGATTCAATACCGCATTGATCGGACGCTGAGAGGGGATTTGTTTCTTGACACGACATCATGCTAGTTGTATTAACGACGCTTTGATGATAGCGAGTCTGAACTCTCACGGGTTGCTTAATAAGATATGCAACAGTTTAACGAAAGACCTTTAAAATGATCTTCACAGAGAAGAAACGTTAATTAATGAACATCATTGTGATCCTGAGAAAGTTAAAATCTCGTGATGCTTAGAAAATGAAGCAATCTTCTTTGAAAGCACGAGGAGATGTTATGATTACGGAGCAAAGCCCGTTGGTTACAGTGTGTGACCCAACTTCCGCTTCCGGAGAACAATGCAGTGTTTACTGTTTAACACGTCGTAAACAACGAACACTAACAGTTTGTTCCCAGACCCAACGCTACTTAACGCCGGTCGTTTAACGGGATAATGAATACTGTTACAGTTTCGGTATTACATGGGGGTCTTCAAGATCTCTAAATTATCGTGGTCATTACTAAAATGTTTACATGAACTCGGCAGTGAATGTTGATGCACGTGTATGTCGCTTAAATTAATGGGGCTTTCACTGATAACTCGTGAATTATCCATTGAAGAATAAAATCAGGTACTTTAATCGGGATCTTTCTGTATATTTTATTTCTATGGTAACTATTAATAACCGGGTACGTACAGTGCCAGGTGATACTGTGTCCTTTTAGATCGTAGCAAAGAGCATAGTCGTGCATTTCATGAACCAGCTGGTTACGTTCACGTGAAGCACGTGAATCAATAAGCTGGTTATTTTACTACACACCATATCTCACACGTGTTGCATTCGCGCCTATTGAGACACACTCGTCTTCAAATAGCACCTGTTTTATTTAACCTGACTCAGTTTGCTTTAACTGCAAGTTTCAAACTTCCACCTATGAGAATGACTTTAAGTTTTACTTCCAAACAATACAGATAACCTGGTGTTGAGTAAAGACTACACCATCTTATAATAATACATATTGTTCCTTTTTTATTATTTCTATGAAAGTAAATACTGCATGTTTTGTTAACAGAAGACATCATATGGATAACTCTGTATATATACATATATATATATATATAAATACTGC